CCCCCCGTCGAGTCGTGTAGTCGCGGAATGTCAGTTGTACGAAGAGGACAGGGAAGTGTACATGACTGAGCTGGGACAAATAATACAAGGGAGGTACAGGGAGATGTTTGAGGCATGGGATAGCGACGAGAGGACGGTAGCTGTGCTGGGGAGTAGCAAGCGGTTTGAAAAGGCGGGAAGGGATATCGTTGGGATAGGTAGACCAGGGAAGACATTTTTGAGCCACTTTAGCAAAGTAGAAAGAAACGATTGGCCATCGGTGATCGGTCCTGTGTGAACGATGCCCCGTCCTCTCGAGGACGCGTGGTCAATGGTCCAACCGCTAAGGCATCCAAAACATTAGAGTACGCCCCCCCCCCGCCCTCCGTGGAAACGTGCTTTGCGGTCCTTACAGCTAAGGCATGCAAAACTTGAGTTTGCCCCCCCCGCTAGGTCGGCCCTTGCTCGCAGCGTCAGGTTGAAGCGATGCCTCATAAAGCTGTTGCGTGTTGATTTTCGATCGGCCCGACCATTACAACTGCCTTTGGAAGTTGCCGGAAACGAGCACAATACCTGTCTTGGTTTATTTCTTCTTTCAGCAGCAGCAGCGCTGTCGACTTCGTGCAAACGTTTCACAGCCTTTTGCTTTGCCTTCTGTTGTTGCTGTTTGAGAGCACAACTGTTTCCCACGAATTTTGCCATCTCGTGACGGGAAAACGTGCCCCTGGCGAAACGAGATCCCAAAGCTGCTCTGCAGCTTTGAAAACGTGTCTCTGACCGATGCGGGGAATTAAACCGCAACCCTGTGCGGATCAATAAATGAAATGTTCTGAACCAAGCCCCGGGGTGAAACTTCTCTTGTACAAGGTATCTACGGCAGCCGGAGACGAGCAACTCTCACGTAAAACCTTGTCGCATTTCGACAAGCAAAGGACTACAATAACGATTTACATATATGTTCCATGGAGCAGATTTGCCACTGAGGGGCGATACCACAACGTCCCGCCTCTCCCCTCTCTGTCTTGCCCTTCCCCGGCAGCTGAAACCCATGCACAGCAGCTGAACGTTCGGTTTCCAATAAACAAATGCGGAGTCCTCAGCACCCCCGCGCTTGCACCCGTTCAAAAAGACAACGACGAAACGACAGAAACGACAGAAACGACAGACCCAAAGTGCGAAGGGGCTCTAGAGACACGTGCGAGAAGTGTGACCAAAGTCAAAGAGATGCAATCAACGCACACTGCCACGCACGTTAAACTGAAAACTTGAGAATGGGTGGTGGTCTACCCCCCCCCCCCCGCCAGCTTCTGTCAAGAACGTGTTCCATCTATTCACAACAAAGCCAAAATACACGTGCCTACACAACGACACACGCGTAAAACACCAACCATTAAAACAATTCATTCCGACATCCCCGGACGTCGGCGCATCAACCTCCATGCAAAGGAAAAACCAAGACTAGTCTAGACTTCCTACTTACGAGACATAAAAAGTATACAAGTCCGAGTGATCTAGCCACTTTAGATAGTTTCATAGTAGGTGCCCAGGCGGGGCAAGGGCAGCCACGAGCAAACAACGCATCGCCACACGCCATCAACGCTACGTCTGTAACTGTGCTGCAACACTGTTGGGCATGCACCTACCAAGTCGGTGTTCGATATCCACAGATATCAAGCAAACCCACGCGAGGCGGAGTGGCGGCATCACAGCAACTGGTAGTAGCACCGGTACCTATCAACCTTTCCGTCCGCGCGGAATGCAGACAGCGCACCCAACCCGGATTATTTTTTCCCGACACGGGTACAGTAGCTCCAACGAAAATCGCCACCTGTGCCAGACACGGTGCACGCCACAGCTGACCACGACTAGCTCAACTCTCGCTTTACTTCTCGCTAAGTACCGGCGCAACGCACAACGACAAAGACAAGCCACACCACCCTTTCTCCCTCAGACCATGCCTCGACCCACCCCCCCCCCTGCATGTATGATGTACATGTTTTAGGAACGTTCCGTGCCTACCCGTGATTTACGCGCCAAGGTCGACAGATCGAAAGTGCCCCAGCTTCTTCCTTCGACCGCCGGCGTTCGGTTTTCTCATTTCTTCTCAAATCCCCATTGTACTGAGCAGTTTCTTCCATAAGCAAAGCGCTTCGGAAACGGGGTTGCACACACAGACCCTGCACTCCTACACATCCAGACCATAACTGTCAAACAAATAAAACTCCTTGATTCTCCGATTCGTGAACAGAGTATGGCACATACAACCGCCGAGCCAACGCGGTACCAACAGCAGCAGGAGCAACAACATGTCTTGCGAGGTTGATGTTCCCGGTGATTCCTCGCTCGCACACGTCGCGAAGGCAAAACGGACGGTGGGTTTTCTGCTTTCCCGGTAGGAGCAGCCCTCACAGCCAGAGAAGGGCTTGCTCTCCTGACGCTGTCATTGCGCGCGGTCATCGATGTAGCCTCTGCAGCATCCTCACATGCAGATCGGACCTGCGGCAGAAAAACAGGGGACCTATTCTACTCCGCTGACTGCCTACACCTACAAACCGATCTTAGCCTAGCAGAAAAACAGGGGACCTATTCTACTCCGCTGACTGCCTACACCTACAAACCGATCTTAGCCTACAATGAACCAAACGTAGCGGCGAGTTGCCGCAGCAGCAGCAGCAGACTCAAAGCAGCAGAGCATAGAGTGGTGGAGGATCTCATCAGCTGCCGCCGCTTCAGTCTTCAATGACGCATCATGAGCGCCGCCGTTGCAAGGGGAAAAGTCCAGAGTCTTGAACGCCTTTGGTCTCCGGAGCCCACATGACTACCGCTGGAACTGCTGCTGCCGTTCGACTATGACCCCGCCCGCGGTAAATATAGTCACGTGGCTTGCTCTCTCAGCGTGCAGACCCCCTCCCCCGCCGCCACCTGGCCCGGCTCGGAGCTACTACAAATGAACCCAAACCTTCATGGCCTATTTGACCTACTACCAGCCTAGGCCCGCTACTTCTACCGTATCGACTACCATACCGACCGTTGGTAAAAGCAATTGATGTCACTGCATTGCGTGCAACCTGTAGCCACCGATATGCTCCTGCTGGACGTTTGGTAAAGTTGGTGCGCCGTAGGCCCGAAGCTGTACTAGCCACTAAATACTGCTGGGCTCCTGTAATAAAGTGGGGGCGCCTGAAAGCTGTAACTAGCCACCAAAGTACTGCTTGCTGGACTCTTTTCTTTCATCCGTGGTAAAGTTGGTGCGCCTTTGGCCTGCCGGGCTTGGGTTGCGCCCAGCGCCGCTCGCGCTCCTCGTCGTCCGCGTCCGAGTCGCTCTCGTCGCTGTCGCTCTCGTCGAAGTTCCGCTTCTTGTGGAAAATGCAGCAACCTGTTGGTTTGGTTTGTCCGTCGTTTGTCGAGAAATAGTTTTCTCAGTGGACGTGTTTGGTCAAAACAGAAAACCTGTTCGTCAAAACAGCGACCTGTTTGTCCGTCGTTTGTGGAAAAAGAGTGATGGCTTGTTTTTCGGGGTGTATTATCATAAGATAGCTGAGCTCGCGGTCAATTCTAGGGCTTTGCTCAATGTTCGTTGCCATGCGCTGAGCTGGCAGCCAGTCCATCGTGAGGTGATATCGTTCGTTGCAGATAGAGGTTTTACAAGTGTGTAGCCGTCGCTGAGCTTGCAGGAATAACTTGCTTCACAAAGCAAGGATGGCATGGGAGGGCGAGAGAGTAGCGGTAATGATGCGGGGAGTTGGGCGCGGTATGAGGGGGGGAGGGGGGCACCATCATGGAGGCAGACAGAGACAAAAAAACGTAACTTATGCCGGGAAACTTATCCGCGCGGACGAGTTCTGCACGACGCTTCTTTTTTCACACGTGCTGAGCATGACGAATATGGTAGGTAGTTGTTGTGGTTTTCTCGAGAGTTGTTGTCGGTTCGGGGGTCGATCTGAGGGGAGTGAGTGCTAGGTCTTTGCTGCCTGGCGGCCGCCGCAACACATTGTGTGAAAAGTGGTGCTGCCCGAGAGCAACCCTAACCCTAACCCCAAAGCACGGATTGAATACTTTATCCCATACTGTATGTTTGCTAAATCAATTTTGCTGCGTAGACTGACGCGGACTACGGACAGACAACAAGTGCTCAAACAAATACGACCAAGCGGAAAAACAAATACCTCGAAGTACTTCGAAGTAAACAGCTTGGTCATACACGGTCATACCGCAGCAGTGGTTGGCAACCAACCGTGGGTCGACTTCTCGCCTCGCAGTCACACCAAACCTGGGATTGTTTCGAACGCTTCGTGCGTCACGCAGCAAAAAAAACGGCTCAAGCTTCACGATCAACCGGGAAAAGGAACGGCAGAAGAATTATTCCGCCGTCTCGAGGTGGGAAATTTACACCCAGCACCGGCCAAGGAAGGCGGAGTTATCAAAAATAACCATCCAGTGAGGCCTCCTGTTGGCACCCCGCATCGACGCACCCGGAAACTTGATGCCGCAAGGCGTACAGACGGACATCCAAGATTAAATGGGGACGAAACACAGTGGTGTCTACACATTGATAGTAGATCTTTAGGACTAATGCTTTCTGATTGGTCGGGCGTTGTTTGGCGTTGGTTCTAACGACCGGTTCCTCTCCAGCACTCTCTCCCCGTTCCGCATTCCGGGCACGTGGCTGCGCCGCGTGCTCACCCAGTTCGCGGCCGCTAGGCCGTGCGTTGGCCGTGGGTGAGGGTTCGGGTTTGGGTTAGGGTTGGGGCGAGTAACCTAGCCTTGCCCGCGTGAGGAACCTAGCCTTGCTACGTTCAACATCGGTTAGTCCTAAATGGTTTGTATCAGAGTGTATCCAAGGCTCACGAAACACGTACGGCAGCAAGCGCGAGCAACCCGGCCAGATACATTCAGCATTGATTGGGACGACACACACACGGCAGTCAAGCGCCCAACATCCTGGCCCGTCACTGATTGTGTGCTGCTTGCGGGTGGATTGCCCGGGGGTGACAAAACGCGGTAGAATACGAGTCAACGCCGTTGTATCCACAGAGCAGATGAAGGCAGGCCGACGGGATTTCGGCGCTTCTCTCAATTAATTCGTTGTTTGGTCATTTCATGACGGCACCCTTTCAGTGGGGGGGGG